TGAAACCTAACAGAGGATTGGAAGCAGGGATGGGTGGAATCTAGCCAAGGAAGGAAGAATCTGATGTGGCCAGAATGGGTGATGCAGTGTGGGCTGTAGGGAATGGGTAAAGAGGCCGGCAAGAAACCAGACTGTGAAGGCTGGGGAATTCTGTGGCTAACTGGTAGCCATGGGAGATACCAGAGTAGGAAGATACACAGTCAATGCTCAACCACTGAGCCACACTGACCAGGCTCCCTCAGGTAGGCCACAGCTGATGGGTGAGTTTTTCATCCCTACGGCCACAACTTTTCAGACATGTACAGTTATGGATACAGTATGAACATGGGGAATGCTTTTAATCTGAGTAGTAACAACAGGACAGGAGCAGTGTTCATCTTTAGAAAGACGGAGACATGGGAATAGGATGACATTCCTGAAGTTTGCCTTCAGCACACAGCCCCTCTCTCAAGGGGATGCTGGCTCATGCCCTGAGGCACCAGAAATGGGTTGGATCCTGATGGAAATGGCCTTTCACCCAAGAACATCAAATAATCGTGCTATGTAGCGCAACATCTCACTATACTTTGCATTCAATTTTGCTAGGAATTTAAAACTGCTTTTAAAAAATTAAGTTTTAAAAAATGATATTGCTGACCTTCAGCAGCACAAACTACTTGAGATTCAGATCTGTTGACTCCCTAGATCCCTTTGTCCCAGCCTCTTCTTTCATAAACCAGTTCCTATCGTCATGGTCCAAGCTTGCCTCAAAGCTGAATCCTGTCTCTTCTTCCAGGGTGAACTATTAAACTGGGAATGTGGGGAGTGGTTGGCCTCGTTGTTCAATGAGAATCTGCCTGTTATGCAAAGCTCTGCAACTCTGGAGCCTTTGCAAAAAGGTGCCAGACAAAATGCCTTTCTCCTAGTAGGAATGTCCCTGCCTCCACTGCAGCTGCACCCCTAGCTGTTAGGCCAGGAGGATAATGGGGGTTACTTGCTCTGAAGACTCTCTGAGCAGTGCAAGGGGTTCCCTACACTGGGGAGAGCATGGGGAACAAACGTGTTATCCTCTTCTGCCCACTCATCTGGAGGTGAGATGATGTAATACAGTGTTAGTTGTGCCACCTCCTATTATCTGCATGGCTTGGAGCCTGTTACCTAACCTTTGTGAACTCCTGAGGCAGACTAAGTATACACCTGTACAGAAAGCTTGTGGTGAAGACTGAGTGAATTAACAGCTATGAAACGCATAACAATACCTGACTCGAAGGAGGTACTGAAGCAGGACGTTTCCTTCCTCCCTATACTTCCTGGCCACATATGCCCTGAAAGGCAGTTAGTAGCCAATCAGGTTGGAAAGGACTTCAGTGATTTGAACCCCCTTGACAATAACCCCAATAAGTGACTACCCATACCCTGAATAAAGATTTCACCCATTTTATCTCCCAAAGAAATCTGTACCATAGGGGAGAGCTTGGATCACTAAGATTTTCTTAATATCCTTTCTAGATCCCGAAGAACCAATTCCCTTGTCTCCTGCCAGGACTTCATTATGACGACTAGATTCATGAACATCATCTGATGCCACACTCACATCTTATCTCTTACAATCAGAGTAAGGAGAGGCGCTGTGCCAAGGAGCATGGCTGGGCTCCAGCTCCCAAGTCCGATTCAGTGTGATCCTTGACCAGTCCTTTCCCTTTCTGGGTCACCGTTCCCTCGACTGTAAAAGGAAAGGCCAGATTTCTTTCCTCTCCCCCCTTTTATGAATACGCTACTGAATTTTTGTTTCCCACAAAAGAATGACATCTTCATCAACTCTCAAGATCCCAGTCTTTGCTATAGCAGGAAGAAACCACAGCATTTGACATTTACAAATCTTGTAGGTTTCTTTCAGTACTGAAAACCAAAACTCTAACACCTTGTTTCTAAACTTGGGGGGTTCTGGTCACTTCATGCACTTTCCTAATATAGTTTCTCTTATATTGAAAATATTTTCCACAGTTCGAGGAAAAGAATCTGTATAATCATTAAGGGGGGAAAAAAATCAACAGATGTTTTGGCAGGGTCTCAAGACTAATTTCACAACACTTCTACGTAAATAGTCTCCCCCGCCCCTGTTCAGGTCCATGCTTTGGCAAAGGAGGCTGCGCCTTGACGAAACCCAAGGTTTGGTGTCATGTTGAAGAAGTTTACACGTCTATCCTGTATTATTCCAAGGGTGACATCCGATGAAAGGGACATTCGCAGAGATGATGTTCCATGCAATGGCGCTAAGTCAAATGATCTATAGAACATCTGATTGGCTTTTTCTTTACTAACTCTGAAAGCCAAACAAGGCACCAGGCACCCAAGGCGGCATCTTTGGGGCCAGGGCACTTCACTCAACAGCGCGTTAAACACCTTCAGTTTAACTGCAAGTTAATCTATCGCTTGGAGAACTCGGCATACCCGCCCGTGTCCGCTGGAAGTTTTCCACCAGCCGCCACTGGGCCCAGCGCGTCCCTCCCAGGTCCTCAGGGCCTGCAGCTGTGGTTGCAGCGGGGTGCGCCTGCCCCCCTCTTCGGCCTCCATCGGGCTCACCCACGACTGTGAGGCGGGGCAGTACGTGATCTCCTCAAGCTGCGAGGGGGTGGCCCCACTCTAGGCACCTTCAGAACTGAATCCTGGCTCCCGCTGCCGACCGCTTCTTTCTCAGAGAAGAGGCCGAACCCCAGCGTCCCGCGGTCCATTCAAACCTCCCTCGCGGACTTCCGGGAAAGGCGCGGCTCCGCGCGTGCGCACTCCG